TCGCCCCCACCACCAACGAAAAAGCGCCCCCGCGCGTTGGCTTTTCTCACCCCCAACACCAGCGAAAATGCACCCCCTTGCGCTGGCTTTTCTCACCCCCAACACCAACGAAAATGCACCCTTCGCGTTGGCTTTTCTCACCCCCAACACCAACAAAAATGCACCCCCTCGCGTTGGCTTTTCTCACCCCCAACACCAATGAAAATGCACCCTTCGCGTTGGCTTTTTCCCGCTGCAATCATTTTCACGCCACCATCACCCTTCCCCTCGCCGGGCTCCCAACCCAACGTCACCCCCCGCGTCGAGGGTGTCGGCAAAGACACCCAGCCCCGACGTCCCTGAGAAATAAATCGTATTGCCCTGCCTGTTTTCCAATGAATCCCAACAGGATGCGACTTCCTGGCCAGGGAGGAGGTTTCCTACCCCCCACTTACAGCAGAAGGAAGGTTTTCTCCAAGGCTCAATGGTGACACCGGCGTCTTGGCAAGCAGTGACGTAGCTCTGGATGCTCTGGCAGAGGACGCGGGTGTTCCCCTGCGTAAGGCAAAGGTCGTGGAGACAGGCTTGGAAATACGGGGCTGGGTCGATGAGGTGGTGGCAGGAGCCAAAGGGGCCCTTTGGGGCAATAAGGATGCCACAGTAGTTGGATTTCTGGAGAATCGCCGCCTTCTCCTCCGAGCAGACAGGGCAGTCGTCCTTGGAGCATTCATCGCCGCACGACTCATCGGGCGTTTTCCAGGCAGCGCCAAAAGCCATGGCGTCGGGGGCCTGGTGGCCGTCGGGGAGGAGGAAATCGTCGTTGCGTTGCCCGTTGTAGTTGCCACAGAGCCCGCAGAGGTGGCCTCGGTAGCTCCGTGGGACTGTGACCGTCACGTGGTGGAGGAGGTCGTAGCGTACGACGAGGCCAAAGTCGGTCTGAAGCAGGACACCCAGGCCGTGTTGGTGCACCTGGACCCGTCCCTCGCTCAGGATGGCTGGGAGGTGGTGGGATATGGAATCCATCTGGGACAGGGAGAGAGGAATCCCCCAGTGAACCTCAAGGAGAAGGTTATGGAGGTTGGAGCAAAAAACATCGGGGGAAACACCTTCCGACCAAACTTTTAATGAACCTACGGCTCCCACTTTGCGACCGGAAGCGTGAGCACGGCTTTGCCTTGGAGATTGGGGTGAGGTCGCCCCTCCATCAAGGAAAACCAATTTTGGGGTGCCCACGTTCGCACCCGAAAAGAGGCGGAGCACAAAACACGGCTTTGCTGTGACCACGCAGCTCTCGCGTCACCCCACAGTCAACGCGAGCCTGTAGACTGTGACGCCAGCACATTTGGACCCAAAATAACCTTGAGTGTCCCCCACTTTTCTGGGATCAACAGATTGTTCCCAAAGTCAATGTGAGCACACAGATTTGTGCCCGGAAAGAGACAGACCACGAAACACCGCCTTACCATGACATCTCCCCTCCTGCCTCGCGTGAGGGTCAGCGTGAGCCCGTAGACTTCCACGGACAACGCTTGGATGCCGGAGACCTTCCTCCTCCGCCGGGCGTCCTTCTCGATTCTCACCACAAAGGGTTGGAGGCTGTCGTCGGTGCAGGTCTTGGTGAGGATGTAAGAGCAGGCGCCCGACATGCCGAAAGCCGTCCCGTCGAAGGAGACGTAGCTGCGGTCACCGGTGGCCACGCAGGCGCTGTGCGTGGCTGATGGGCATTGGAAGACCCCGTCGACGACTTGGCCTTCGCCGCCTCCAGGACACGGAATCCGTTGGCAATCCACGGTGCCGCCAGCCTGGCACTGACATTCCTCCTGCTCGCTGGGGGAGAAGGTCTCCCCCGCCTTGTAGTAGAAGTCCTGGTGGAGGCACCCGCACTGGGACAAGGGGACGCACGCGTCGCCGCTGAGCACGAAACCTTCGTCGCACACGCAGCCCTCCCGGCACCGGTCAGAGCATTTCACCGGGGTGTAGATGCTGCGGCAGGTCTGTCCGCAGTCCTGGGAGCAGATCTCGTAGTGGCTGTTTGCAGGACATGAAATACCTGCCACGAGACAAGGAGATTCCTTAGGGACAAAGGAAATGACAGGCCGGATCCCGCAATTTTCCTGCCGTCAGGGGCACGGTGTGGCGGTGCCGTTCACCAGAAGTAGGGATGGCTTTGCCCAATCACTTCATGGCTGCACCTCATCTCTACCTCACCGTGGACACGATGAGGGAAGATGTGTCCGTCGGAGACATTACAACCCTCTCGAGGTGGAGGGTTTAGACCCCTGGATCACCTGGTTTTCCTCATTATCACGGGGGAAACAAGGATTTTCCCTCAGCAATGGCATCGCTCCCACGCAGGGTCCACAACCAACTTCCAGGGCAGGTCCCTCTCCCCTAATTTAAATATTTTTGGTGCATCCCGTGTGTTTTGCCCTCTAAGCGATCCAGGCAATTAGTCCTCAGCTTCGTTTTAGCCAATGCAAAGAAATTGGTGCTTATTTGGGCTAAATTATTCATTTTATTGCAGCCCGATGAGATGCCTTGTTCCCTGGAAGGGTTTGTTCCTGGCTGATGGGAACAACCTAGACTTTGGGTGGGATAAAGCACCACTAAGCGAGATGATTCCCACCTCTGGTTTCTCCCCACACGGGTTTGGCCCTGGATTGGGGTTCCCCGGAATGTTCACCGCCCCTCAGGAAGCCCAAACCACCACCAACCAGCCCAACCTACTGCAGAAATCGTCTGTCCTCCACGCCCCGATGGTCACGCCGGCGGCTTGGCAGGCAGCGGTGTAGCGGGTGATGGTGGGGCAGATCACACCTTCCTGGCCTGGGAAGACGCAGAAATCATGCACGCAGCTTCGGAAGTATTGGTTAGGGTCCACGTGAGCAGCACAAGCTTCGAAGGGTCCACCCACTTGCAGGAGGATCCCACAACCCGTCTTGGAGACCTCCTGGTGCTGCAGAGCCGCCGCCATGGCAGGACATTCCACCCGCGACAGCTCCGCGCAACCCGGGACGTCAGCCGCTTTCCAGCTGCGTCCGAAGGCGTCGGGGCTCGACGTCACTCGGCCGTTCTTCATCCGCATCTCATCGCCCGCCTTCCCGTTGTAGTTCCCGCAGAGGCCACAGAGGGTGTTGGCGTAAGTGCTGGGCGCCGACACGGTGACTTGGCTTTGCCAGTCGTAGGTGACGGTGAGGCCAAAGTCTGTCTCTACCACCGCTTCCCGCCCGCCTCGGGAGACGGAGATCTTCCCCTCCCTTTGGTGATACGGAAGATTGACCAACCGGTCGTCGACCTGGGACAGAAGTATAAAATAATAGTAATAAGAATTCAGTATCCAACAGCAAAAGCAAACTGTGTTTTCACCCCTCCTGCAGTTCGGGCTCCGGTCAAAGCACCGACATTATTTTGATGAAGACTTTTCCGATTTAGTCATCTGCCCCAAATACAGTTTCTCACCAGCCTTGAGACGAACCGTGCCTGGGGATCCGGGACACACCGCGCACCCATCTCCTGCCTCAGGCGGAAGCGGGAGATGGGTTGAGGAGGTTGGGGTGAGGAGAAGGCGAAGGCGGCGGAGGTGAGCCAAAGAAACCTTTGCTGAACTCACCGTGATTTTGCCGGGGTGTTCCTGGCTGATGATGATGTTTTTGCCGTAGACTTTGACCGTCATGAGAGCGATGGAGGAGAGAAGTTCATCATCCTGGCGACCGTTCTGCACCAGCACTTGGAAGTCCACCAGCCCCTGGCTCTTGTCGCACAACCCAGCCAACTGGTAGAGGCACGTGCCCTGGAAGATGAACCTCGCGCCGTCGAAGCTCTCGTAGTGGGTGGCACCCACTGCTGTGCAGGTCCCGTAGCTCTTGGGATAACAGTCCTGGATG